TTGCTGCTGCTGCTGCAACACGCAGCAGCAGCAGCAAGCGGCGCCCCTAATATAAGGAGACTCTAGCTGCTGCTGATGTTGCTGCTGGTAGCAAACTCCTGCTGCTGCTGCTGCTGCTGCTGCTGCTAGGGGGAGGAGAAGGAAAGAAGGCTTCAAATAAGTCCGAGGGTTTGAACGGAGTACGAAGAGGGTTTGTGCTCGTGTGAGCTCGGCACCTGAAGAATCGATGTTGTGGTTTAGGGTTTAGGGTTTAGGGTTTAGGGTTTAGGGTTTAGAGGTGGGATAGGGGTTGAAAAGGGTTTTAAATTATTAAGAAATGTAAATAAATATTTTGAAAACTTCCTAATGTACAAATGCTCTCCTCTCGGTGCATGCAGCTGCAGCGGGGTCACCTCCGCTAAGGGTTTAGGGTTTAGGGTTTAGGGTTTAGGGTTTAGGGTTTATTTATTCCGGGGTTTTGACTAGAATTTAGTGAATTACTTCAGAGTATGGTGCTTACAGTTTACCGAGGGACAGGGTTGCAGCCCGAGATGAAGGCTTAGCGATTAGGGTTTAGGGTTTAGGGTTTAGGGTTTAGGGTTTAGGGTTTAGGGTTTAGACGAAGCCCACTCACTAATAAGAGGCATCTAAAAACAAAAACTCTGCAAGGAGGCAAAAAAAGCAAATATACCAATTACCTTGGAAGATCTAATGGCTTCACCTTGAGGGTTTAGGGTTTAGGGTTTAGGGTTTAGGGTTTAGGGTTTAGGGTTAAAGCAGCAAAAGAGGAGACCCAGAGATAGAGACAAATGGTTAATATATAGAAATTAAAAAAAAGAAAGTAGAAAAACAAGAGAAGAGACAAAAGTGAAGAAACAAACAGAGACAAAAACCAAGAGAGAGACAGAGACAAAGAGACAGAGACAGAGACACAGAGACAGACAGACAGAGACAGAGAGACAGAGAGACAGAGAGACAGAGAGACGGAGACAGAGAGACAGGGACAGAGAGACAGAGAGACAGAGACAGAGAGACAGACAGAGAGACAGAGACAGAGAGACAGACAGAGAGACAGAGAGACAGAGAGAGAGGCAGAGACAGAGACAGAGACAGAGACAGAGAGACAGACAGGGACACAGAGACAGAGAGACAGACAGAGAGACAGAGAGACAGAGAGAGAGGCAGAGACGAAGACAGAGACAGAGACAGAGACAGAGACAGAGACAGACAAAGGGAGAGACAGAGAAGAAGATGAAAAGAAACTGAGAGACAGAGACAAAGACAGATAAACACAGAGACAAACAGAGACAAAGACAAAGAGAGACAAAGACAGGGACAGAGAGAAAGAGAGACAAAGAGAGACAAGGAGAGACAGAAGAGAGAAACAAACAGAGACAGAGAAGTAAATATAAACACGGAGACAGCGAGACAATCACAAAGAGAGAGACAGAGATAAAGAGACAGAGACAGAAAGAGAGACAGAAAGACAAATATAAAGAGATAGACAAGGAGACAAAGAGAGAGACAGAGAGAGACAGACAAAGAGAGAGACATAAAGAGACAGAGAGAGACAGGCAAAGAGAGAGACATAAAGAGAGACAAAAGAGCGCAGCTCGAGAGAACGACAAGGAGAGGGAGAGACAGTGAAGCGCCGCAATACACCTAAACAGAGACAGAAAAAACAAAACAAAGACAAAAGGAGACACTCTATAAACAAACAGAAAAAGAAAAAAACAAATCAAAGACATAGAAGGCATAAAGGAGACAGTAAAGAGACAAAGGAGACAGTAAACAGACAAAGGAGACAGAAAGAGACAGAGAGACACTGAGGAGAAAGAGTGAAGAGACAGAAGGAGACAGAAAGAGACAGGGAGAGACAGAGAGAGAGAGACAAAGAGACTAGCAGAAGAGACAGGAGGTGAAGAGCTACAATAGACAAAGAAGACAGACAGAGACAGACAAGAGGCGAGGAGAACAGACAGAGACAAAAGAGCGATTAAAATGCAAACTAAAAGGAGACAAAAATGCAGCAGCTGCTGCTGCTGCAGCAGCTGCTGCATCATTAGCTGTTGCTGTCGCTCCTGTTAAGGGAGGATCATTCGCTGTTGCAGCTGCAACTGCTGCTGCTGCTGCTGCTGCTGCTGCTGCAACGACGGGGGCAATTGCTGTTGCTGCTGCAGCGGCAGTCGCTGTTTAAAAGGCAAGCGCAGCAGCAGCAGCAGCAGCAGGTGTTGCAGGTCATTGGAGGAGACCGTTGAGGTGTACGCGCAGCTAAGGAACAGTGAAAGGGAGCCCTTTCTTGCTGCAGCAGCATCAGCCTCAGCATTTGTTGCTGCTGCTGTCTGCTGCTGTTAATTATTATTATTTAATAACAACCAAAACCCTCAGGGGCAATAGCAAAGAATTCTTACTAGCCTTAACGGAGACAGTTTTTTATGTTGTTTATAAAACAGCTCTTAAAAAGCATTATCAGCAACAACTAAGGAGACAAGAGACAGCAGAGTTAGCAGAGAAGAGACAGCAGAGACAGCAGAGAAGAGACAACAGAGACAGCGAGGAGACAGAAGAGACAGCAGAGAAGAGACAGGAGACAACTAAGGAGACAGCAGAGAAGAGACAGCAGCTGCACAGTACTAACTGCCACCCCACAGCAGCAGCAGAGAAAGGCTTGCAGCTAGCAGTGAAGAGAGGAGACAGCAGAGATACTGACGAGCTGTCTCCTTTCTCTTGTCTCTTTGGAGACAGTAGCTGTCTCCTGTCTCTAAGGAGCAACCCTAAACCGTAAACCCTAAACCCTAAACCCTAAACCCTAAACAACTCCAGGAACAGCATCATGCAATGCAAACCTACTAACAGCGGCTGCTATTCTACAGTCCCCGCTAACCCTAAACCCTAAACCCTAAACCCTAAACCCTATACCCTAGGCCAGGAGAGGGCTTTAGAGTGTGCCGTTGGTCGCGGGTCTCCTGTGATGTATAAGCCCATATCTTCAAACCCTAAACCCTAAACAGTACACCATAAACCCTAAACCCTAAACCCTCGATCCTCACTCAATGTTTCTCCTTGACTATCAACCACCCCGCAGCGACTGCAGTAAATGCTGCTGCTGTTGTTGTTGCTGCTGTTGCTGCTGCTGCTGCTGGTGATGGTGTTGCTGCAGGCTCGCCCAAGGCAGGGCTTCAAATCTTATGGGTGTGCAAGGAGGCTGTTTATGGGTTTAGGGTTTAGGGTATGACAAGGGTTTAGGGTTTAGGGTTTAGGGTTTTGCCTCCAGGGTTTAGTGTTTACATTAAGCCAAACGTTAGGCGTTTTCTTATTGAATTACTGATTAGATACGGAATCGCTTCTGCTGCTGCTGCTGCTGCTGCTGTTGCTGCTGCTGGCGCATGCAGCAGCAACAGCAGCAGCAGCAGCAGCACTTTTGGAAGCTGTACCCCAAACCCTAAACCCTAAACCCTCAATTTAAATATTGTTTAATAATAAACTTCCTTTGGCTATGACTTTTTAAATGTCTAGAGGACGGACGACCGCCGCTAAACCCTAAAACCTAAACCCTAAACCCTAAACCCTAAACCCTAAACCCTAAATCCTTGACCGTACAGCCCCCTTCCTGTGTTTTAAAGGAGAAATGGTTTTTTTGACATCTCCCTACTGCTCGGCGGCGCCTCTCACCTGAGGGCTTAGGGTTTAGGGTTTAGGGTTTAGGGTTTAGGGTTTGCAGTAAAAGCACCGCCTTCCCAGGCACTCTACCCAGCAGAGCAGCAGCAGCAGCATCCATCAGCAGCGGAGACATCGGCATCAAAAAGATTAGCAGCAGCAAAAAGAGCAGCAGCACCAACCGAAGCAGCAGCATCAGCAACAGCAGCATCCAAGGAATTTGCTGCAGAAGCAGCAGCAGCAGCAGCAGAAGCAGCATCGTTTGAGGAAGCTGCAGCATCAGCAGCAGCAGCATCATCAGCAGCAGCATCATCATCAGCAGCATTGTCAACATCAGCAGCAGCAGCAGCAACAGCATCATCATCATCATCAGCATCAGCAGCAGCAGCAGCAGCAGCAGCAGCAGCAGCAGCAGCAGCAGGATGTACATCCCTCGTGCGCCTGAGATTCACAGACATCCGTTTTACCCTCCTTTATCTGCTGCAGAGTTGCTGCAGAGGGACTGTCTCCTTTCTCGCTGCCGCCTTGTGTGCGACTCTGCTTCTCGCAGCTCGAGCAGCTCCCCCAGCAGCAGCAGCAGCAGCAGCAGCAACAGCAGCAGCAGCAGCAGCAGGGTATATTGGGGCTCTCTCGATGGAGGGAAGGGGAGACGCAAAGTGCGCCGCAGCTGCTTCGGATTTGCTGCTAGCGGAAGCAGAGTTTTAGCAGGCTATCATGATAATCTCTCTGTTGCTGCTGCAGAGACGCTGTCTATACAGCTCAATGTTGCTGCTCCAGGTGTATGCCTCGTCTTACCCCACCCTGTACACCCCGATCTTGTTGCACTCGGATGCCAGGTACTATCCCCTGCTGCTGCTGCTGCTGCTGCTGCTTGTGCTGCTGCTGCTGCTGCGGCTGCTTGCTTGTGCTGCTGCTACTGCCGTTGATACTGCTGCTGCTGACATAACTTTGGCTATTTCAGTGCTGCATTTGCTGCTGCTGCATTTGCTGCTGCTGCATTTGCTGCTGCAGCTTGTGCGGTCGCTGCTTCATCCTGTGGCTGCTGCTGGAGCTGCGTTTGCTGTTCCTGTTTCTGCTTCTGTTGCACTTGTGGGGCTGCAGCACTTGCTGCTGTTGGTGACATCGGACCTGCTGCTGCAGCAACTGCTTCTGCTTCTGCTGCTGCTGCTGCTGTGTATATATGTACAGGGGCCGAACCGCTCTGGGTCAGTTCTGAAGCTGCTGGATTTGCGGCAGCAGCCGCCTCGCTCTTTTGCTTCCTGCAGCAGCAGCAGCAGCAGCAGCAGCGAGATGGGCATCGCGGGGTGTATGTACACCTCCCCGTTTGGAGATGAGTGGTGGACAGGGGCTTGGCATCCGTCAGGAAGTTATTTAGTTTGCATCGATAAAAGAGACAGATTGCACTGTCTCTACCCGGGACAGCAGCAGCAGCAGCAGCAGCAGCAGCAGCAGCAGCAGCAACAGCGGAGCGCTAGTGGAACTCCCACATCCGCCAGCACCGTTAGCAGCAGCAGCACCAACAGTAACAGCAGCAGCAGCAGCAGCAGCAGCAGCAATGATATAAGGAGCGAAGTGCTGCAGCTGGAGGCTGTTACTTACAGCTGCTGCTTCGGGTTGGGTGGGCGTGTGTTTATAGCAGCACAAGAAGATGGTTGCTGTCGTTTGCTGCCTAGCTGCGACGGCATAGGTTTAGCAGCAGCAGCAGCAGCGCTGCAGCTGCCGGTGTTGCAGGGGCCTGCAGTTGTAGCAGCAGCAGCAGCAGCAGCAGGAGACATTATAGGAGTAGGGGGTACAGACGGCTGTATACAGCTTCTTCATGTCTCTACTCTCTCGCCTGTGGGGTCAGTACCCAGGGCTGACGTGGGCGTGCAGTGTATATCCATCAGCAGCGACGGTTTGCTGCTTGCCTGGGCTTCAAAGAGGGCACCACAAGAGCAGTAAGCAGCAGCATTATGTTGCTGCAAGCACCCGCCTCCTGCTGCTCCTACTCGTGCAGCAAATGCTACACAAACTGCTCTTCTTCTGCTCCTGCTGCTGTGCAGAAGGATGCACCAGCAGCTGATGCGCCTGCAGCAGCAGCAGCAGCAGCAGCAGCAGCAGCTAGAGCTTGCTTTGTAGGGTAGTTTGGAGTGCTCCGCGTCTACTTCTTGTGTAGGAATGCTGCAGCAACAGCAGCAGCAGCAGCAGCAGTTTGTTTGCTTCTCCTGTTGACTGATAGAGTGGGCTGCTGCAGCAGCAGTTGCTGCTGCTGCTGCTGCTGCAGTTGGGTGGTGTTGCTGCGGTAGCTGCTGCTGCTGCAGCCGAGACACTAAGCGAGAAAGCGAGACAGAGAGAGAGGAGACAGCAATAGAGAGACACAGAGAGACAGTAAAAACACGCTAATGAGAAGTATAAATATAAATATAAATATAAACATAAATATAAATATAAATATATATTTATTTATTTGCTGCTGTGGGTGTGCAGAGAGGAGCCCCTGCTGCGGAGACAAGAAGATAGAGGGAGACAGGGTAAGCACAAAGTCTCTGTTGCTGCAGTGTCTCCTACTGAGCTGCTGCTGCAGTTGGAGACACCTGCGCAGGTAACAGCAGCAGCATTTCATCCCCACCGACATGTACTCGCCATAGCCTGCGATGCAGACTGCAGCAGCAGCAGCAGCAGCAGCAGCAGCAGCAGCACGTCGTCCATGTCGTCGTCGTCGTGGTCGCCGTCGTTTGCAGCAGCAGCAGCAGCAGCAGCAGCAGCAGCAGCAGCAGCAGGTACAGCAGCAGCAGCACCAGCGGCAGCAAACATATCGGAATCCTCGCCCTAGACTAATCACCTGCAGCAGCAGCTGCTGCTGCTGCACCAGGACCAGCTACAGCAGCAGCAGTAGCTGCAGCAGCAGTAGTAGTAGCCGCAGCAGCGGTACCAGCTACAGCAGCAGCAATAGCTGCAGCAGTAGCTGCAGCAGCAGCAATGGCTGCAGCAGCAGCTGCTGTTGCTGCTGCACGCTTGCATTTGTTTTTTCTTGACTTTTAATTCTGCTATTCGTGAAGTGGCGCTTCAACTTTTTTTCATATGCAATTTAGGGTTTAGTTATTAGGGTTTAGGGTTTAGTTATTAGGGTTTAGGGTTTAGGGTTTAAGCAAAAAGCAGGTTGTAGTTGGCGGTAGAGGCATTAGCTTGGAAGATTAGGTTTAGAGTGGGGATAATAATTTAGGGTTTAGAACTGAGGGTTTATTGCCGAGGGTTTAGGGTTTAGGGTTTAGGTGTTATGGTTTTCTGTTTAGCGTTGAGGGTTTATTGTCGAGGGTTTAGGGTTTAGGGTTTAGGGGTTATGGTTTACAGTTTAGCGTTTAAGGCTTTGTTTTAAGTGTGGGAAGCAATTGATTAGGCTTTGGGGATTAGGAATTTAGGGGCTAGGGTTTAGGGTTTTGCTTGTGTGCATTAGGGTTTAGGGTTTTGCTTGTATGCACTAGGGTTTAGGGTTTACGGTTGCTGCTTTAGGGCTAGTGCTTAGCTATCGGGTAGAGATTTTACGGTATAGAGGACACAGTCTAGGGTTTAGGGTTTAGGGATTATGGCATAGGATCTAGGGTTTAGGGTTTAGGGTTTAGGGTCTTAGGGTTTAGGTATTAGGGTTTAGGGCTTAGGGGTTATGGCTTAAGGATTTAGAGTCTTACGGGTTAGGGTTTAGGGTTTAGAGCTTAGGGGCTATGGATTAAAGATTAGGGTTTAGGATTTTAGGGTTTAGGGTTTAGGGTTTAGGGTTTTGCTGCATACAGCAGTGCGTCTATTGAATTGAATAACACAAACCCCACCGTATGCGCCAGCCCTTCTCCTTCAAACATAAAATAAAATAAAATAAAATAAAATAAAATAAAATAAAATAAATAAAATAAAATAAATAATATAAAAAAGAAACAAAAAAAATAAAACAGTTTAAACAAATATTAAACAATTTTTACTTCTTCGTTTTTTTATTCAATATCCAAGTGACCCCCCATCACGCCCGCCCGTTTGGTGGGCCACTGGTCAAACCCTAAACCCTAAACCCTAAACCCTAAACCCTAAGCCCTAAGCTCTAAAACCCTAAACCCTAGACCCTAAAACCCTAAACCCTAAACACTAAAACCCTTAGCCTTCAACCCTAAACACTTAACGCCAAACCCTGAATCCTAAACCCTAAACCCTATGCCGGGAAACGTAAACCCTAAACCCTAAACCCTAGAAGCCAAGGGTTCTGCGTTATAGAGGAGAAGAAGAAGGGTGTAGAGGGTGCGGTGTATATACACTGGAGACTGCTGAGTACGTGCAGAAGAGATTCAGGTGTATGTACACCCGAAGAGATGAACAGCCCCAGTTGCAGCAGCAGCAAATCTATACATACGCAGCAGCAAGATGGCAGCACCGGCAGCAGCTGCAGCACCTGCAGCAGCAGCACCTGCAGCAGCAGCACCTGTAGCAGCAACAGCAGCAAGGGAAGTGACACTGAAGACAGCAGCCCAGTCAGCACCAGCGAAGACGGCAGCAGCAGAAGCAACAGCAACAAGGACAGCAACAACAGCAGCAGCAGCAACAGCAGCAGCAAAAAGCCCACTCAAAGACAAGAGATGCCTGCTGTTCGCGTCTTTTGCCGGGTAAAGCCTTTGCTTCCAGAGAGCAGCAGAAGCAGCAGCAGCAGCAGCAAAAGTAGCAGCAGCAACAGCAGCAGCAACGAAGAGACAGCTGTGCACGTTCTCGACAGCCGCCGCGTCTCTGTCCGGGTCCCCGATGCTGCCCGTACAGACAGCAACAGCAGCAGCAGCAGCAGCAGCAGCAACAGCAGCAGCAGCAGCAGCAGCAACGCAGTGTTTGCTGTTGAGGAGGTGTTCAATCCTCTCTCTTCTCAGCAGCACATCTTTAACTCTGTTGCCTTGCCGCTGCTGCAGCGCTGCTGCAGCGGGGGTGAAGCCTGTGTTGTGGTGTATGGACAGAGCTGCAGCGGGAAGACCTATACGCTTCTAGGGCCCGAGCAGCAGCAGCAGCAACTGCAGCAGCAGCAGCAGCAGGACGGTGCTGCAGGGATTGATAACGAGTCCCTTCCTGTGACTGCTGAAGCAGGTCTGCTGCCGCGAGTGGGAGCCTTCCTGTTGCAGCTACAGCAGCAGCAGCAGCAGCAGCAGCAGCAGCAGCAGCAGCAGGAATGCGTTGGGAATATAATAGAGAGTATTTCTCTGTCTCTTTTCGAAATGTATAAAGAGGTGCTAACCGATCTGTTGACGGGCGAGGGCCCGCTGCAGCTGCGGCAGCAGCAGCAGCAGCAGCAGCAGCAGCAGCAGCAGCAAGGGGTGCAGGTGTTGGGGCTGAGCGAAAGGAGAATTTGTAGTGTACGTACACTCCAGCGAGCCGTTGCAGAGGCATTAAAGAGACGCCGCTGCAGCAGCACGCAGCTAAACAGCAGCAGCAGCAGATCTCATCTCTTCGCCTGCTTCTCTCTACAACTCAGGGCTATTTCAACAGGTCTGCTGCTGCTGCTTCTACCGCTGCTGCTGCTGCTGCTGCTGCTTCTGTTGCTGCTGTTGCAATTGCGGCTGCTGCTCTTGTTAGTGGTGATGGTGGTGGTGCTGCTGCTGGTAGTGGTTGTGGCGGTGGTGGCGTTGCTGCTGCTGCTGCTGCCGTCGCTGCTGCTGCTGCTGTTCCCGCTGCTGCTGCTGCTGCTGCTTCTGTTTGTGCGTTGCTGCTAGTTGCGGTGTTTTATTATCTGAGTTTCTGCTTCTTCTTCTGCTTCTGCACCCCGTTGTGCTGCTACTATTGCTGCTGCTTGTGCTGCTGCTGCTGCTGTAACTACTACTACTACTCCTGCTGCTGCTGCTGCTGCTGCTGCAGGAGAGGAGTTGCGGGGTGTATTTCGCCTGGTGGATTTGGCGGGGACAGAGCGCAGCAGCGTAGCGGGGACCGAAGGAAGTTTGCTGCAGGAAGCAGCAGCAATCAATCGGTCTCTCTTTTGCTTCTGTCATTGCATCGATGCTTTAGTCTCCAAACAAAGAGCTGCTGCTGCTGCTGCTGCTGCTGCTGCTACTGCTGCTGCTGCTGCTGGGGAAACGGCAAAGGCAGAAGCAGATCCTCCTGATGCCTCTCCAGCTGCAGGAGGATCTGCTGCTGCTGCAGCAGCAGCAGCAGCTGCTGCTGCTGCTGCTGCTACGGTGAACTTCCGCGGCAGCAAACTGACGCGGCTGCTGCAGCCAGCGCTGCTAGGGAGGGGGGGTGGTGCTGCTTTGCTTATTTGTGTCTCCCCGCAGCAGCAGCATGCAAGAGACACCTGCAATTCCTTGTCTATAGGTGCGAAGGCAATGTACATACAGCCGAAGAAAGAGCTGCAGCGCAAACCCAAGAAACAGCAGCAGCAGCAGCAGCAGCAGCAGAAGCAGCAACAGCAGCAGCGGCAGCACCAGGGTTTAAAGGCAGACAACGCATGCAATGACCCTCAAAGAACACTAACGGCAGGCGAGGAAGCAGCAGAACCCTCTGCAGCAGAAGCTGCTGCTGCAGCAGAAGCAGCAGCTGCAGCAGCAGGCGAAGCAGCAAGTATCTTGCAGGCAGCAGCAGCGGTGCTGCATGCGCACACAAAAATCCCAAACAGAAATGCAGCAGAGGTTAAGGATGCAGCAACAGCAGCTGTAGCAGCAAATGCTGCTTCTGCTGCAGCAGAGAAGCCCCGCTGGGGGCTGTATGCTCTGTTATTCAGATGCAGCAGGAGACGGCTGCAGCAGCAGCAGCAGCAGCAGCTTCCGCTGCATCTCGACAAGCAGCAGCAAGCAGCAAATGTGCGCATGCAAAGCCTCAGGAAAGCTGCTGGGCGAGCTCAGCAGCTGGGGGCAATTCTGCTACAGCAGCAGCAGCAGCAGCAGCAGCAACAACAGCCGCAGCAAGTGCAGCAGCAGCTGCTGTTGCAGAGGCAGCAGATGCTGCTACAGGAAACACGAGAAGCTATTGCTAAAGAGCTGCTGCTGCTGCAACAACTGCAGCAGCAAAGCTGCAAGCCACCATACTAGCTCCCAGCAGCAGCAGCAACGGCAACAGCAACAGCAGCAGCAACAGCAGCAGACGAGTGCATGCGGTCAAGAGACTTCAATTGACAGTTTTTAAAATCAAACTTGGCTTTCTAGCTGCAGCTGTTGCTGCAGCTGTTGCTGCAGCTGTTGCTGCAGCTGTTGCTGCAGCTGTTGCTGCTGTTTCCCTATCAGGGTGTTGAGTGTCTCCTACAGAGGAGCAGCAAATGCAGACAGCCAAAGTGCTAGCCCCCGCAAGCAGTTGTTCTTTGCTTCTTAAGACGCCCACCCCCTGCTGCTGCTGCTGTTGCTGCTGCTGTTGCTGCTGTCTCAGGGGCTGCTCGCTGGGCTGCGGCGGCATTTGCTGCCTCCGCTGCTGCTGCTGCTGCTGCTGCTGTCTCCTCTGCCGCTGCTGTTGCTGCTGCGCCTGCCTCCTCTTCTGCTGCTGGCGTTGCTGCTGCTGCTGCTGCTGTCTCCTCGTCTGCTGCGGGTCTCCCCCCAACCAGTTTCCTTAGCTTCAGTATTGTCCTGCGGTGTACATGCAGCTCAGCCGTAAAGCCCAAACCCTAAACCCTAAACCCTAAACCCTAAACCCTAAGCTCCCTTCTAGAGCGCAAGCTTGTGTTTGTCTTCCACATCTCACAGCGGAGGGTTTAGGGCTAAGGAGGGTTTATTAGGGTTTAGGGTTTAGGGTTTCTCTATCTCAGGTGTAGGGTTTACTATATATATGTTTGGAGTTGAGGGTTTAAGGCGTGTATATTTCGGTAGAATGCTTAGGGTTGGTCAGCGGTGTCTACTCGTAGAGTTTAGGGTTTAGGGTTTAGGGTTTAGGGTTTAGGGTTTGATGACCTGTAGTACATTGCGTATGTCTCCCCCCACTTTTTATCTAACTCTGCTTTTTGCTGCTGCAGAGGCAGATCCGACAGAATGTCGTAGATGTCTCTTTTAATTCTTTGTTTAACTTTTAAGCGAACAGCAGCACATTCATCGCCTCGATGAAAGCAAGGCTTGCTGCAAGGAGACAGTTTGCTGCAGGAGACACCTGGGCGCTTCGCCGGCACTGCACGCGCTCCCCTACGACACAAACCCTAAACCCTAAACCCTAAACCCTAAACCCTAAACCCTGGGATGCCCTATAACACGGCTGTTTTCCACATCTTCGTACGAAGCTCTAAACCCTAGTTAACCCTACAAAACCTTATTAAACCCTAAACCCTAAACCCTGATGGGCCTACCCCGCTGTGCAGGGGCGGCGTGCAGCTCCAGCAGACCCCTGCCCTGCTGCTGCCAGCTGCTGCTGCTGCTGCTGCTGCTGCTGCTGATCTGCAGTAGCAGAGACCCCCTCCGGCTGTCTCCAGTCTCTGCGGCTGCTGCTTGAAGGAGACTCCTCGTGCAGCTCTGGGGGAGGGTCTGGTAGTGCAGCAGCAAGGGCTAGGATCTCCGTCAGCCTAAGCACAAACCCTAAACCCTGAACCCTAAACCCTAAATCCTACTAGAAGCAGCAAGACGCGCTGCTCCAAATTCGCCGCAAGCTTGTTATAAGTTTGCTGCAGCAGTAACAGCACTTCTGGTGAAAGACTCCTGGTGCATTCAGCCAAGTGTCTCCTTTTATACATTTAAATGTCTCCTTATATGCATCGAAGTGTCTCCTTATATGCACCTAAGTGTCTCCTCTTATACATCCAAGTGTCTCCTTTTATGCATCTAAGTGTCTCCTTTTATACATCCAAGTGTCTCCTTCTATGCATCTAAGTGTCTCCTTTACACATTTAAGTGTCTCCTTTAATGCATTTAAGTGTCTCCTTTTATACATCCAAGTGTCTCCTTTGATGCGCCTAAGTGTCTCCTTTAAAGCATTCAAGTGTCTCCTTCAAAGCATCTAAGTGTCTCCTTTGAAGCATCTAAGTGTCTCCTTTAAAGCATTCAAGTGCCTCCTTTTACCTGATAGCCTGGGCCTTTGTCTCCTTTAATACTCGACGAAAGCATTCAGGGCATGGCTGCCCTGGTGGTGCGCAGTGCTGCTGCGAGCCTTTCTTGCTGCAGCGCCCCATCTGCTGCTGCTGCTGCTGCTGCTGCTGCTGCTGCTGCTGCTCGAGGCTGTCTCCTTGCTGCTTCTTAACAGGGGGGTAGAGGAGCGCAGGGGAGACGATCCCCAACTCTATGGACAGCTTCAAACTCGTTACGTCGCGCAGCTGACAGAAAGATGTCGCAGGGTCCTCCACTGTAAACTGCAGCAGCAGCAGCAGCAGCAGCAGCAGCAACAGCAACAGCAGAAGCAGCAGCGGCAGCAGTAGAAGGAGCGATGATGGAGCAAAGAACAAGTGCAGCGCCAAACGATTGTCAATGTGGGGTACAGAGGATTACCTTAGACAGCACATGAAGCAGCAGCAACAACAACAGCAACGTGGATGCAGCAGAAGCAGCAGAAGCAGCAGCAGCAGCAACAGCAGCAGCAGCAGCTGCTGCAGCAACAGACCTCAATGACTTTGGGGTCGAGGATAATGTCTTGATAGACAAACTCCAGCGTCCGCATTCCAATCCCTGAACGCAGCACCAAACCCCTGTTGCTGCTGCTGTGCTGCTGCTGCTTTGCTGCTGCTGCTGCTGTGCTGCTGCAACGGTCTGGTGCGCACGCTGCTACCTTTGACGCAAAGGGAAGCAGCAGCAGCAACAGCAGCAGCAGCAGCAGCCAAAGGAACGATCCCCGACCCTTATCAGCAGCAGCACGTAACGAGGTAGCAGCAGCGGGTGCGGGGACAGCAGCAAACACGCAGGGGCAGCAGCAGCAGCAGCAGCAGCACGGGCAGCTATAACAGTTGGTCAGCAGCATGAGAAGCAGCAACAGCTGCAGCAGTACAACCAGCAGCAACAGCAACAGCAGCAGTAGATGCAGCAGCACAAGCAGCAGCACATGCAGCAGCACAGCAGCAGCAGACGCAGCAGCACAACCAGCAGCACTGCAGCAGCAGCAGCACAACAAGCAGCAGCAGCAGCAGCAGCAGCAGCAGCAGCAGCACCTTTGCTTTGAACATGAGGGAAGACGAGGCATTGACTGAGTCTCCTTCTATAACCCCAAAAGGCATAAAATGTATACAAAGTAAAGATGCCAGCTAACTCCCATCTGCTGCCCTGCTGCTGCTGCTGCTGCTGCAGCTGCAGCAGCTCCTCCGCCGGCTGCTCCTCTTGCTCCTCTTGCTGCTCCCCCGCAGCAGCAGCAGCAGCAGCAGCAGCAGCTGCTGCTGCTGCTGCTGCCTTTGAAGCTGACTTTAAGGATGCTCCCTCTGTTGCGGCCCCGTCTCCTGCTGCTGCTGCTGCTGCTTCTTCTTCTGCTGCTGCTGCTGCTACAGCAGGAGAGCCTTTCTCTCTCTTTGCACCGCGGCTGCCTGCTCCTCCTCTTTTGCTGCTGATGCTGCGTTGTTGCTGCGGCCCCGTTGTTGTTGCTGCTGCTGCTGCAGTGTCAGCTGCAACAGCAGCAGATGCAGCAGGATAGGCAGCAAACACCGGAAGAGCTGGCTGAGAGCTGTCTCCTTCGCTGTCTCCTGCTGCAGGGGGCCCCACAAGGCAACCCCCCGATCCCCCATCTAAGCGCATTGCCTCAATGCGCTTCCTGCAGCAGCAGCAGCAGCAGCAGCAGCAGCAGCAGCAGCAGCAGCAGCAGCAGCAGAAGCAGCAGCAGCGGAGGTTGAGGTGATAGCAGCTGCACCGGAAGCAACGAACACGCAGCAATGACAGCACAAAAAACAGCAGCAGCAGCAGCAACGGCAGCAACAGCAAGAGCAGCAGCAACTGCATGACCATCCGCAACCACGGCAGCAGCAGCAGCAGCAGCAGCAGCAACAACAGGAGCAGCAGCAGCAGTGGAGCTCACCTAGCAGCAGGCAGGAGGCTTAGTTCAGCTGTTTGCTGCTGCTGCTGCTGCTGCTGCTTTTGCTGCTGCTTTTGCTGCTGCTTCTTCTTGTCAATCCGCAGCACAAACGGCAGCAGCACCGACCACTGAGGGTCGGGGTGTATAGACGAAGCAGATTCAATAAACCAGTGCAGAAACCACTGCACTCGCCTGCAGACAAACCCTAAACCCTAAACCCTAAACCCTAAACCCTAAACTCAATAAATCCATGCAGAAATCACTGCACTCGCCTGCAGACAAACC